AATGGCACTACCACGAATGGTCACCCTGGGCCCATCTACTTTTAAAGGACCCTTTGTGAATGAGTACCTGTCACATTATTCTAGGCTGAATGTTCCTCCTGATTGCTGAGCGACCCTCTGAAGAAAGATTTGACTGGGCTCCAGTTTCCAGGAGGCTCAGTCCACAGTCTGCTGGGTGCAAGGCAGGGTTGCCATGGCAGAAGGGCCACGTGGGGCAAAGATGTTTAGTTTTGGGGGGCCAGGAAGCAGAGCAGGGGACAGCAACATGATGGAAAGGGCCAGGCAGGAGACACAGTACTCAGGGTCAGGACTCCAAACTTGCTTGACCAACTGCTTCAGTCATCCCGGTAGTAGACAGCTAAGGTGAACCATGGCAGACCTGACTGTGACTCTCTGGGTAATGCAGAGTCCAGCACAGAGGAGGCTCCTGGACCTGGACCAGCTGCCATCCATAGGTCCCCTATGAAGAGCAGCAGTTTTGCCTTGCAGTGATGGTGCTGACATCTTCCACAGCTAAACAGCCAGCCACAGACTGGTAGGAAATATCCCATCCTATTATCACTTTCTCTTTGTCCTTTGTATTGTTCTTGATCTGCCCAGAGTCCCAGAGGGAAACAAATGGCTGGCCTCTAGTATCTTTCCTTTTTCCTTTTTGCTCACACAGTATAGCAAGCAGCAAGGAGATTCTTCCCTGTATGTGATGCTCAGTGTTGAAACCCGCTTTAGACAGCTAAAACTTGAGTGCAAAGAAGGACCTCAAAAATGGAGTAAAGTGATATTATATTTAAGCCAGTGTCAACTTACAATACAGCAAGGACAAAGGCCCAGAAAGCAAGAACTGTAAGGGTGAAGAAGGAGTCCTTGCTGCTTGGCCCATCTCTGTCTAGAACTTGGAATGTGACATGTGAGGTATCGCTTAGTATCTGTCTGCCTGAACTTGGACTCTTGGGAAATGCTATTGAAAAAAGAAAAATGAAACCATTGACTGTAACCTCAATACAGTAAAATCATTATACAGTGATGACTTTTAATTTTTATTCTTCAATTTGGAGGAAAAAGTAAGAGTTACTAATGATTGGGAGAGGAGTTATAATTCTATTGCAATTCTTTAAACTGATAGGCACCAAATGTATTGCTGATGCTTTGATGATCTTTTTTTATTTTAAAGAGAGTAGCAAATGAGAAACAAAGAAAGAAATAGAACAGTAGCAGTATATCAGTATCACAAACATAAACAAATCAAAGCAAGAACATTCAAAGTGATACAGAGTCTCAAGACAAAATAATATGAATCAACAGTGCTTCTTACATTACATATCTCTACCCTCAACTACATTGCTCAGATTACCCGATGAAAGAATGAAAGATTGCTAAAACCATTATAGGGAATAAGAAAGTAATTCTTTGATAAAACAGTAGAGATGATACAGAGTTTCACTAGACAAGATGGTAAAATAGATGACAGGAAAGGGAAAGAAATTGCTCAAAGGATGGAACACCTGGGATGAGGGAAAGAAGAAAAAAGAAAGAAGGATCTTCAATGAATACACTCATAAAGACATTTTTAGTACACACATTTACAAAGCAATTATAAAAGGTAATGGATATCTCTTCTTACAAAATATTTAATCACATTTTGACCTGCTGCATTTGATGTAATAGGCCTATGTGGGTTTTTTGTTGTTTATTCATTTCAGGGTGTTGTTCTGCCTTTTCCTTGCAGGCAAAAACACATTACCCCCCTGAAAACCACATAAGGTACAACCCAGTGCTCCCCCAAAAACCACTTAAGAGGAAGAAGTAATCACTGGGCAACACTTGGGTTCATAAGAAAGAGATACACTTCGTGCTCTGTCTTGGATCTGTGTCCACAAAGGCACCTACGTTGCAGACTTGCTTCTCTGGGTCGTGGCAATGGAAGTGGCAGAACCTGAGGAGATGATGCCCAAATTGAGGTCCTTAGCCCTTTGAGAGTATTCCCTTGCAGCAGATGATGGATCCCCTATCTATTTCTGTCTCTGTCCTTGTGCAGCCACCATGCCAGGAGGCCCTTACCAGAGGCCAAAAGGCATCTTACATTGGAGCTGCCAGAATTATGGGCCTAAGTAAATCTTTTGTTTTCATGAGCTAGTAGCCTCCAGTATTTCATTACAGTAATGGGATGCTGAGTAATGTTCCTTGATTGCATCATTCTCTTTGACCATGTTAGACAGTTGTCATGGAAGTGGTACAAGTTTGCTGTGTCTGCATCTCAGTGGAGCATTAAAGTTGGCCTGTCTTGATGTTGTGGTGTCTGAGATGAGCACTGGCTTTACTGGTTCTACTCATGTTTCATTTTTTTCTTTTTCTTTGTTCTTTTTCCAGTACCGGGAATCAAACTCATGACCTTGTGCTTGCCAGGCGGGCACTGTGCTGCTGAGCTAAATCCCCGGCCCCAAGTTTAATTTTTTTTTTGTCTTAATCTTTTTTTTTTTTTTTCTATATGGAATTCTATGATTTCCTAAAGGCAATAATGTCAGTGTCATCCTATTGGAGGTCTGTATCTTTGGACCTCTCTGTTTTGAGTTTTCTGTTAAAAATAATGATACATTCACAAGAAGTTTTAAAGCTATGTTCAGGAAGGTTCTGTGTATCTGCCTCCTCCTGTATCTGTGTGTAGTATCACAGTATATTCTCAGAAGTACATTTACACTGATTCCTTCCAAGGAATGTAATCAGATTTTACCACATTTTACACTTTTATTTGGTACCAGTAATTGAACTTAGGACCTTGCACTTGTCAGGCAGGTGCTTTTGCTGCTGAGCTATATCCCTGGCCCACACATTTTATAGTTCTTTTGGCTGTTTTAGGCTTGTTGAAATTCCATACGAATGTTGTAATCAATCTGTCAATTTCCATTACAAAAGCCTTCTGGGATTGTGCTTGAGCTTTGGTTGAATGTGCAGGTGAATCTGGGAAGAATTGGAATCTTGCAATAGTGCATCTTTTAATCCATAAATGAGGTATGTGATATGACTTCCATCCAGAGTGTCCCCCCCAAGTCTCACGTATTCAGAAGGGGGGCTCTGGGGAGATGACTGGATCACTGGGCACTATGCTCACCAGGAGATGAAGCTACTAGTGAGTTTATAGCTGCATGCATGTGGTTGCGGTGCAGGAACTCCTTGGAAAGGTGGGTCCCTGAAGGCGCGCCTTGGAGGGTTCAACTCACTTCCCAGCTCCTTGCTTCTCTCTGCTTCCTAGTTGCTGCTTTCCTCCAAGGCAGACCCTTCCACCATGCCATTTCTACCTTGGAGCCAGGCAAGCATGGACTGAAGATGTGAACCCAAATGAACCTCTGCTCCTTTAACTGAAGGGTGTCTGGAATTTTTTTCCAGTGATAAGAAAGTGTCCGGGACTATGTATACCTCCTCTTATCTTTTTATGACTTTAATTTATCTCTGCAGTGCTTTGTAGATTTTAGTGGATGAGCATTTTAGTCAGATTTTCCCGAAATACTGTAGTCTGATTTTCCCTATTTCATATTTTTTATGGTAATTTAAATTGCAGTGCTTAAATTTCAATGAGCAGTTGTTCACAACTAATCTAAAAGCACACAATGGTTTTTGTGCGTATTTCCCTTTTGTCATGCAGTCTGACTAAATTCAGTTATTATGGGGCTGGGAATTTAGCTCAGCGGCAAAGCGCCTGCCTGGCAAGCGCAAGGTCGTGAGTTCGGTTCTCGGTACCGGAGAAAAACCAAAAAAAAAAAAAAAAAAAAAAAAAAAAAACCTCAGTTATTAGTTGTAGAAGCTGTTTTTCTCATTAAATTTTCTACGTACAGTCTCAGATAGTCTTGCAAGAAAGGCTCTTATCGTTTTTCTTTTCCAGCCTGAATGCCATTTTGCTCTTTTATACCATGCAGACCCTGCAGGGCAAAGGTGAACAACATCCATCCTGGGTGTCCACATCGGTCTTGGGTTGTAGCATTGTGCGTGTGAGCACCCAGCAGAGCTCTCAGCACAGGAACACCTGCTTCCTCACCTTCCACACAGACGGGTAAAATCCACGCCCAGACAACACATTGCAATCTTCAACATCGTATCCTGGCTGCAATCAGGAGCAGGAGACCCAGTACAAATACTTTATTCCATTTTGAATAGTTTCTTCCCATTTCACAATATCTATGGGGAACGGAGAAAAGAAAGAAGGGAAAATAAAGTAAAAATATATATATATAATAGTTAAGATAGTTATACAACTAGCGTCTCTTATTTCACTGAAAAGAAAGGTTTGCTGTAATTTGTTTGGACAATTTTTCATGGCTATACCTTGCACTCTGTAACTACTCTGAAGATAATACGCAATGTATTACCTATTGTTACTCTCCTATTAACCTGTTTTAAAAATTTGTTTTGTTTTTTCTCTTTAAAATAAAAATAAAAAGTTTATTCATTGAAGTGTTTTTATAACACTTAATGGAATTTTGCGTTCATTAGCACATATTTGCAGTCCTTAATGTTTGCATTCCTTGTGTGGATTGGTACTTGTGCATGCAGTCTTGACAGAGGGAGGGATGTGATTTCAGACCGGAAACAGGAAATTGAGGAACTCTGTGTGCCCACTGGAGCAAAGCAGGTAAGGCAAAATGTTGCCTGGCTTTAGCCAAGAAATAGGTAGGTTGCAAGGTGCATATGATAGAATTGTACGAGGAAAAGGTGAAGGTTCCCATGTTCACCAAGGGCCTGGAGGGCTTTAGATGCCATGGAACACTAGGAAATGGGAAGGGCTAATGCACTATGTAATTGGGCGGCCATGGCACGGTCATGTGTGCCTGAGAGTTGAACACCGGAAACTGAGAAAGGGCTGCAAGTCAATTGGGAGCACGTGTTAGTCATGGCCTCCCTGTGCCCCTCCCCCTAGAGGTGTCAGAGAAGGGGTTTGTGACGTCCCAGCCTCTGCAGGGCTCCCATTGGCTGGCAGAGGCTGAGTGATGGAACAAAGGCAGGGTGTGGCTCTCATAGCTGCAGCAGGGCTCAGAAGAGGAAGCAGGAAGCTGGAGTGAAGGAGGTCGGAAGGCTTGGCCATGACTGAGGAAATCCGTAAGATCCAGGGCAACTGGGTGATCACTTGGGTAAACACCCGGAAGCCCTTGGCCAAGCTGGACGAACCAGTGAACAGCTCTCAAATAAAGAAGGAGGAAGAGGGGGAAGAGGAGGATGATGATGATGATGAGGCAGAGGAAGAGGAGGAGGAGGAGGCAGCGGTAAGAGAAGAGGAGGAGGAGGAGGCAGCGATAAAAGAAGAGGAGGAAGAGGAGGAGGCAGCAGTGAAAGAAGAGGAGGAGGAGGAGGAGGAGGAGAGCTCATCTGAGGCTGAGCAAAATGAGTCAGAGAACGTGAGAGGATCCTAGCTATGTTCTGTTCTTGGCCTGTCCTGAGTCCTTGCCCCTTGCCCCTTGCCCTGGCCCCTGGTCCCTGGTGTCTGGCCCTCCTTGACCCAGAGATTCCTCCTCTCCAGCCCCCTCTCATAGGGCAGGGTGGGGCAGGGCAGGGCAGCCCCCTCCAGGCTCGGACTAACCACCCTCTCTTCTTCTTTCCTTCCAGAGGCAGAAGGTCATTGACCAAGTCCTGTCAGTTCTGGAGCAGAGTCCCGAAAGACAGCAGGGGCAGAGTTCCAACACACACCTGGAGCAGAGTGCCAACAGACGCCGCAAGCGCACGGTGGTGGTGCTCTACTATAGAGGGAAGAAGAGGAGGGAAGAAGATGAGAAGCCTGTGCTTCAGGGCCCACCCTTGGAGGAGATAGTGGAGGAGGCCAAACCCGCAGGAGCCCTGCCCTGGGGGACTCCAGAAGCTGTGCGGAAGATACTGCAAGGAGCAGTCAGCACAGCAGTGGGTGGAGCAGTCAACACAGTAGGCGGAGCAGTCAGCACAGTAGGCGGAGCAGTCAGCACTGCAGTGGGTGGAGCAGTCAACA